AGAACCACTGTAGAATTAAAAGAACCACTGTGGTAGCATTAAAAAAAAAAAAAAGCATAAGCACGGAATTACAGAGATCTATCTTGTCAGTAGCACAAGTAAACATTTTGCCATAGGAATCACCAATGTAGTCTGGCTGCCTGTAAGTTTTCACTTGTTCTTTAGTCAGCTGTCTGGGATGAGGAGAACGACAGTTTTGTTCTGTTCCCAGCAGTTGGGCTATACTTGCTCTTGTTATAATGCCACCCTGCAAAGGGTGCCAGACAGACCAGTGTGACTCAGAAGAAAGGACCCCTGAGAGCGAAGGCTGCCAGAAACGTGATACATGGGCCAGAGGACCAGGGGTTTAATTTATTGAAGACAAGATTCAGAATATATTAGAAAAAAGTTTTTTTCCCAAAAAATAATAAAGACCTGTTTTTGACCCAGCATAAAGACGAACTCTGAGAGTCAGAAATATCCAAAGGAAGAATGATCTACCTACAAGATACTGGGTTCCCCTAAGATTTAGCCATTGTTTGACTCACCACATGGTAGGGATATGTACAAGGAATTCTTAGATGGTTGGACCACTTTAGATCTTGTGATGGTAATTGGGGGAGCGTTGGTGTGTCAGGGCATCATTGAGGAAACCTTTTACTGTTTGTAATGAAAGTGATAGGCTACAGTGTTGGCACATGAGATTCCTGAAGAACTGGGATGTGAGGTATACAGTACTCATTCTCAAGGGACTCTTTAGAATTTCATGTTCTTAATCTCTCAAAAATGGTTTGAATAAAGTTAATCACCAGATACAAAGTAAAATAGACCTTATGTGTAGACTAATGAGTATACAGATTTTGAAAACATAAGCATATTTAGTTTCCTTAAAAGTAGTTTATGAATTAGGTATTTACAAATTGAAATTCTAGTAACTGTCCTTTTGTTAGTGGCCAGATTTCAAGTGAGAAATCTCTGGCTCTCCTAACACTTCTAAAAATTTAAAGGAAAAGTTTGTTAACAGTCCTAAAAAGGAACTGACAGTTTGTTGTGTTCAGGTGTCCCGGGACGGTGGCGTTGCCACCCCTGCCACTGAGGGCCGGGGCGGCAGTGATGTCGTGGAAGGAGGCCGAACAGCTTTGGACAACAAGACCTCCCTGCTCAACACACAGCCTCCGCGTGCCTTCCCAGGGCCACGGGCGCGGGACTACAACCTGTATCCCTACTCAGACGCCATCAACACCTATGACAAGACAGCCCTGAAGGAGGCCGTGTTTGACGACGACATGGAGCAGCTTCGAGATGGTTTGTCTTTCTTTGCTTGATTGTCCCCCATCCAGAAATACCTTCCATGGGCTTCCCCTCTTGTCAGACCGGCTCTGGGCATACTGGTCAGACATAAACGGAAACGTTGGGTCTGTTCTGGTTAGTCATTTGTTCTACAGCTATTTGTTGAACTCCTACTGTGTGCTTAGGCATGGAAGGCACAGCAGTGAACAGAAGGTCACTGTTCCTGCTTCTAGAAGCTTTAGCATCTAGTCTAGTCTAGTCACGGCAGTCAAGAAATACACAGTCACACAGATAACCTAAAATTACAGCTGTGACAGCTGCGCAATGAAGGAAGGCTAACTATACCCCAGCTAACTGCTCATCAGGAAAGGCTTCACTGGGGAACCAGGGCCTGAGTGGAAATCAGAAGGACAAGGGGAGTAGGAGAGTAGCGAAGTGGGGAGCAAAGGCTCCAGTAGCCGCTGCCCCGGGCTCAGCATTTGGAACAGCCTCTGACCTATAGAAGTAAGGTCCTGTAGCACCATTGAAAGCCTTCCCTCTTCTCTCGCACCAGCATTTACCCAGGGCTTCCTGGAGCTGCTTGATGTTGGCCGTGTCCTGTAGTTGGGAGAGAGGGGATCTGATGTACACTGCGCGCTTGCGTTACCATGCGCTTGCTGCCGTGCTAGTGTTTTCCATACGTTACTTAATTGAGATAGAGGGGATTATTTCCATTTTACAGATGAAGAAACAGGTCCAGAAGGTTAAGTTATTTGTCCCAAATATAACATACTTGGTATGGAACAGAATTAGTTTGGCTTTTTTCTGACCCTGTGTTAAGACCAATGTCTATTATTAATAAAGTAACAGGTGAATAAATATGTATTGGTATGATGGCATTTTTATCTGGAACTTAATTGTTTTTCACCTCACTGTCATGTGCACGTGTCCCTGGCCTCAAAAAGCTCAAGGCCTGTCAGGAGAAACAGATTGATCATGGTTGCACTAGTAGGAGGAGAGGGCCATGCTGAAGGCACATACTGGGTTAAAGAAAGAAAACCACTCAAGCAGTGATGGAGTCCTGAGACATAAGAGAAGTCTCTAGTTGTTTAAAAACAGAAATTGTTTCAGGGGTTCAAAAGCATAGTCCCCTGGCTATTAATTGCTAATTCCTGGTTGGTAGCAGCTCAGTATATACCCAAGCCTCTGTTTACTGGGTAGTAGGCAATTTGTAGTGTTCATTAGGACTTGCACTTTCTAGGAGTACTGGACTATTCTCTTTCATTGCTCATAGAAGTGGTACATCACTTACCTTATCCATTTGTTGGTCTCGGTGAAGATAGAATAGAGATTGGGTTATTTATTCAGCAACTGTATCATAAAAGTCTTAAAGAAAAGGGTGGGGATGGGGGGGAAGATGATAGAGTTCTTTAACATTTCAGACTTCTTCATGTGTTCATTCCTCAGTCTTAGAAAGTAAGGAAATATGCAAATACAAACTTAAGTAGTTCCTGATGATTCATCTAATTTTTTTTTCATCCATTGTATTTAAAGTGAATTCAGAGTTGAGGTCTGTTAAAAGAACATGGAAAGAGAAGGGATATGCTTTTCTGCCTTATAAACCATGGTTCAAGTCCCCGCAAATTGTTATGCTAAGAGAGCTTGGCATGTTTTACAGTGTGTGAATTAGTCATAAAGAGTCTAAACACCTTGGTTTGTGTTTGTTCACTGAGCTAGTTCCTAAACTCCGGACATTCGAGAAGGAAATAGATAATGATCAATCAGATGTGATAGTGAAGAGGGCCTTGAGGGAAATGCGTGATGTGTGAACCTCAGTGGATTTGACTGTTTCAATGCTTGGGCTTGACTTAGAACTGTTGCAGTGGAAAGAGTTTGGATAAAGAAGACAGTCATGGGAGTGAGGGGTGCTTTTGGAGAGTTTCTCCTCTTTGCCTGACATGAAAGGGGAAAAAGATGGTAAAGGGTAGAAACATTAAATACTGGTGCTTGACACCTATTCTCCCACCTCTATTTTCACAGTTAATTTAGTGAGATGACCTGCTGAGGGTATGAAGTGGGGGCGGGGAGGGGCGCGGGGCAGAGCAGGAGGAAAGGTATGATGGGAACCATCAGTAAGGTGCCTCTGGGAGACTGTGCTTCACTGAGGGTGCCCCTGGAGCCAGGTGTGTCCTTATGCAGTAACCTCTGTCTTGCTGTCTCACAAGTGCCCATTGACCATTCTGACTTGGTGGCCGACCTTCTGAAAGAGCTGTCCAACCACAACGAGCGGGTGGAGGAACGGAAAGGCGCCCTACTGGAGCTGCTCAAGATCACGCGGGAAGACAGCCTGGGTGTCTGGGAGGAGCACTTCAAGACCATTCTGCTCTTGCTTTTGGAGACACTCGGAGACAAAGATGTGAGGAGCTCTCTTTGTTCCGTTTCCCCATCATCATGGGGTGCTCAGGCTTTGGCTCTACTCTGTATTGTGCTTACTGTTTACATCAAACATGTTTCAAATGTTTTCCAAGCACCAAATAGTAAGGTAATGTTTTGTCAGAAACATCCTAGCTTATATGCAGGCTTTGTCTGTAGTTGGCTTTGTAATTGATGAGGGGAACTTGTTCCTGCATCAGATTACTTTAACACAAAATTTTTTAAAACTTCTTTAGCATAAAATGTGTTTTTTTCTGGTGAGTTTTGTTTGTGTTTCATGTGTAATTGAGAAACAGAGAAGTTCATTTTTTAAAAGACCCTACTAAATGCTGCATTTCATGAAATTCTGTCTTGGTCCACTCTACATATGTTAGCAGTTTCACTCAAGCAACAGGTTCAGGAACCGTGGATTTTTATTATTGTCAATTATCTTTATTGTAATTTTGAAAATAAAAAGCTCTCTTCACACTGACATTTGAATGTGACAGACTAGGCATTTGCTATAATCCACATGTGGCACTTAGTAGATAACTCTTAAAGGAAGGAAGAATCTAGTCAGACTCCTACATTTCATGCCTTGTGTAGCTGGTCCCTTATACGGAGACTGGAATAAAAACCCATTTCTCTGCACTGGGCTTTGTGTAGGCTCACAGAAACAAAAATGAACGTGGTGAAGAGCTCTAAGGGCAGGAACCAGGCAGAAATTCAGCACAGCCCGTGGTAAAGGTCATGCGCAGGGTAACTTGGTGGTGGCTTGATGCAAGATGGGAGAGCAGAAGGCTGGTGGATGTCATGATGACTGATTGCTTTCTGACGCTTACAATTAGTGGTTTGGTATAGGGCTAGTAATGAGCGAAGAATGGTAATAAAAGATCTGTTAACTTTTCTCGAAATAAAATATTGGCTACTGAAGGATTTCTCTTTGGTTGAGCTTTGTCGTTGGGAGAAAAAGCGATGTCATGCAGAGGGCAGGTAGATGGTGTGTTAGTTTGTGAATTGTACAGGTGAGTGACAAAGAATCAGGATGTACTTTTGGACTGTGTTGGTGTAAACTCCATTCTCTTTTATTGAGATTAGGAGTCTGTTTGGAATGGCTTTCCTCCAGACGCATGACTGGGGCCTCAGGGTCCTTAAGCAGCTCGAGGCCTGTACAGTTCCCTTCCCCTGTGATATCATCATGCAGAAGGTGGGGAATAATGATGACAGATCTCCAGCTGTCTTTAGAGAGTTCACAGACTTACAGGTTATGTTGTCGAAATGTTTAGATGCTTTTTACCCTTTCTTTTGTACATGTTACAAAAGGATAATTTGCGTATCTAAGCCTCAGGAAATCTGGAAATCCCCAGGAGATTGATAATGAACTTAGATGTATTATTCTCATTTGGTCCTCATTTGGCTTATTTAAGAAACCTTCATCAGATTCTTCTTAGATGTTAGATCCTGGGAATGTCCCCATAGGCACAGGGCCTGCCCTCCTGGAGCTGGCTGTCGAGAGCCTCTGTCAAGTAAGCAGTGTGATCTATGTCAAGATGTCTGCAAGGTGCCAGGGAGATCCAGAACTGAATGCTCGATCTCGTTGGCCCCTGCTGACTGGTGTGTATAGTGAAGTGCTATGTTTCGCGTGTTGATATCTTCTTTTTGTACTCCAGCATTCCATCCGAGCACTAGCACTGAGAGTTTTACGAGAAATTCTGAGAAACCAGCCAGCAAGATTTAAAAACTACGCCGAGCTGACGATCATGAAGACTCTGGAAGCCCACAAAGACTCCCACAAGGAGGTGAGCCAGGCCTGAGGCCCGGGGATGCTGAAGAAGGTCTGGAGCGCAGTTAGTTGTGTGGGGAGAGAGGACTGTGACTTAGTATACAGCTTCGAAAAAGGAGTCCCTTCCTCTGAATTCAGCCTGTGCCGTACTGTAGGGTGAAAACCCCATAGCCGCCATGGTGGCTGGGCAGCAGTGCAGTTCCGGGGCCATTGCCTCTTGGTAGGTCCCCAACTCCCTTTCCGCGTGTGCATTGGGCTTGGCCCATCCCTGAGGGATTTCCCATGTCAGAGGTTCTCATTGCTTTGGTCAAAAGGTAGAGGAGTCTTTCATTTCCTTCTGGTATTCAGCATCTGGCCGTCTGGTGTGGGAGATCAAGATGGCTTTGAAGATACAGACGCCTTTAAACAGGTCCCAGACAAGTACTTAAACAGACTCTTTTCTTGTGCCAGAATCTTGGAGAACTTATTTCACCTTTTGAGCCTCAGTTTCCTCGTGTGTAAAATAGAAATGGATATTATCACAAAATTTCTTGCAAGAATTAAATGAGACAAGCAGCAACTGGTTTTGGCCCTGCTTGACAACAGGAACTACACTGTTTTGGTCTTCCTTCCCTGCTGGCCCTTACAGTGCACTCCTCCCTGGCTGTGCCATACCTCTTCCACTGGCTCCTGGACATTTATTACAGTGCTAGCCGACTGTGTCTATGGTTCCTGGCACCTCACATGCCAAAAAGCAGGAAGGATGTGTTTCTGTGCCTGGCACACATGCAACAGACGTTAGACACTCAGTAAATCCTCGTTCAGTTGCTCACTGAGTTGTTCCAGCCCCTTATGTCTCGCCAGTCCTTTGAGTATCAGGAGCTATCCTAAGTAAAAATGATTTCAATAACATCCTTCCAATAAAAGCCACTGTGGAAAACAGGACCATGTTTATAACTTTAGAAAACTTAATATGGCAAATGGTGGCTTTGACTCCAAAGTGAGACACACAACCACTTGCTCAGTTCAGTTTCTTGGCTCACATGTGACTCTCTCATAAGCACACTCACGGATTAAGAGAATTGTGATTAGAGCAATTCTTATATCTACAAAAAGAATCGGACCATAAATAGTGGTTTTTCTTAGTTTAGCAGTTACATGACTATTGAACAATGATCGATTTGACCTCCTCCAATCCCCACCATGATTGCAGGCTCAGCATGGGGTGGGTGTCATGCTCTGTCTCAGCGTCTCCACACCTAATAGTCCTAATGCACACAGGTACACAGGTGGTAAATGTGTTTTCAAACCAATAATTTAGGCTTCCGATATCTGGGTTGGTTGTGTGATGATGATTATCACTCATGTTTGAATAAAACTTTCGACTTGTAACTCATTTTCAAAATGTGAGGACCAGATGAGCTAATATTGTCAACAAAATTATTCCTGGATAAAAAAAGTGTCCAAGATGCCTTAATTTGTCAGATATACATGGCAATTACAGGTAGAACCAAGGTAGAAACCAGGTCGTGTGTCTCTTTTAAGAGGCAACTGTCCTGTGCTGACTTTTTCTTTTCCTTTTTAACCACAGTAGCTTCTCTGTAATGAGAGCACATGAACAAAAAAACGAAACAAAATTGATGTTCTGTTACATATACAATGTCAGTTGTTTTCACTGGGGAGGACATACCTAGAATGGGGCATTAAGGTGGAACTAAGCCATCTACATTGTGAACTACTTTCCTGCTATCCTCTTGGAAGATGTCTGTCTTTATTTTTTTACTTTTATTTATTATTTTTTTTCAGATGTCTATCTTTAAAGTGGGCATCCTGACCTTAAACTTTGAAACTGTGACAGTGGACTCTAAGAAGTCCAAGTTAACAGAATTAAATAATCCATTTACTATTTGTTTTCTTGAGTGATTTTGTTATTTTTTTCCCTGCAAAATGAGAAATTTAGGAGAGTTCGTTCTTAGGGGTGAAGTCCTTTAAATTGCCTAAGGGACAAAAGCAAAAAAAAAAAAAATCTGCTGCTTAAAGTAAATTTAGCAGCACTCAGTTGCCTGTAATTCCTGTGACCCAAGGGTCTCCACGCTGCTGTCACTGATTACCTGATAAAGCAGGTGGAGGAAACATTGTGTTCTAGAAGGAGTGCCTTTATTGGCAGGCCTCCCTGCTTTGCATACTTTCAGGCTCACCTTGACTCGGTTGCCCTTTTGAAATGTTTTCCTTATGAAACTTTACTCTGTCACTTGGCCAGAAATTCCTAACTTGGGCTCCTATACATTTAGGTTTTAGGTATGGTTTTTGTTTTTCCTTTCCTTTAAAATTCTTCTAGTCCTTCTTTTATTTTACCCAATCTGTGTCTGTTCCATTTTTGATTTTCAGAACAAGATAGTTAGATTCACATTAAGTTTGTGTTGTGGCCATCCTGTTGGCATATATTGCACACAGTATTTCTCTAGTTATTATACTTTCTCACCATTGCATTCAAACATTTATTCAAACATTATTTAAACATTTGGAAAAGATCCAAAATGTTTCTAGACCCAGTTATTACATAGTCATACAGAGGCAGAGTCTGTTTGCCTGTCTAATTAGTACTTCCACAGTGTGTTTGTCCCGGGACTTCCTTCTCATAAGAAGCTGGTTTTGTATGCATAGACAAAACCCAGGATTCAGGGAGAGGAAGAGCATGAGACCTGTCAGGTTGACACAGGGCTGCTCTGAGAGACATTGATACCAGATGTCTTCCTTACCTTCCGTGGTGGTGATTGCACCATGATGCACACTGAAGTTCTAGCTGTGGGACCGTAGCAATGAAAGACAATTCTTGAAGTGAAATTTCTGTAAGTTGATATTTATCATAAAAGCCCTTACAGGAGGTGAATAATGCAGAGGTTATGATAAAATGACTTGTTTTATCATCCTATGAATCACGGTCTGTTTTCTCAGGGTCTTATAAAAGGAACTGTGCATGCAAAATGTTTTTCTTACACTGAAAATGTACCAAGGACTAAATCTGTCCTAATTTATGTAATTATTAACCTTTTATTTATTTTTTTAATACCTACAGCACCTGATATTCCTAGGTAGTCTCCCATCCAAGTACTAACCAGGCCCTTCTTAGCTTCCAAGATCAGATGAGATCGGGCACATTCAGGGTGACATGGCCGTAGACTATTAATCATTTTATACGTAATTAGTGTAAGAATAATGGTTGCTCCCAGTTATTATGTCTTGCATGTAAACTTAAAAGAAACACTAACTATTTCTTGAAGATAATCTAAAATTCAGACTTTTCTGAACTTGGCTAGATTAGTGAATATTCAGTTACACTTGCCTAATAAAAGAGGAAAATGTCAGCATCATTTTATGTGACTATACTGGGTCACCAAACATTTCTTGCCACACACGAAAGTTTTGGTGTATGAGGCATCAGAGTCCAGCCTCAGGTGGTATGGCTTGTTTGAGAAAGTTTGAGTCTTGGGTAAATATAAAACAACCACTATTTTGTCTCCAGGGGTTTTATTTTTAAATTATTTCTAGTTAACTTTGTTTTATGACTTCAAGGAATTAAAAATGCCAGACCAGAATTATTTTTAAAATAAAAGAGAACTTTTTGGGGACTAGTTTTCTGGCTTCTATTTCACTCAGCTAGCATGGTGTGTCTTAAGCAGCCTTTTGGCAAATACCATGACCAGAGAAAAGCAGTAGTGTGTCAGAAGGCATTTTAGTGAGCTGATGTTCTACTTCAAATACCAAAACCACTTGTTGGCCTCGTCTTAACCAGCCGCCTGCACTCTGGGATGGCCCTGAGGACCCTTGTAGGACAGCAGCCATGGAGTCAGTTGGTTCTGGAGAACAGTGCATTTGGTGAACCTGGAAAAATTACTTCACTTCTCTGGACCTTGGTTTTTCTTATCTGTTAGCCCAGGGAGTGGACTAGATGATTATCCATGTCTCATGCAGCCTCAAGATAATAGACATTACTACTGAGTAACAAACCTAAACCTTCATAGACTCTAAATCTCTAGTTTTCCCTGGGCCTAATCATGAGATGTGGCCAGAAGCCCGTTTCCTTTGTGTTTGTTTAACAAAAAGACAAAATCAGAAGCCTGTATAGTTGTATAAAGGTTCAAAGTTGCTGAGCCAATAGTTTGACATTATTAGCACAAACTCTGGTGAATGTTTTATTATTGGAGGCAAGGGGTTGGGACGGAGGCAGGGGGAAGTATGCTAGTCTTCAAGGAGCATATGGTTTAGTTGAGTTTAAAGCAAAGGAGTTAACATGTGGTTCAGAGTGAAGTGCGCTAGGAGTTTGGAGTGGGCTGGAATAGTCAAGAAAGAATGCCTGAGGTGTTAGAACCAGAAATGGACTGTAAAGGAGTAATCAAGGAGAGAATTCTAACAGCAAGTCAAGGCATCATGGCCAGAGGGAGGGAGTGTGGGCGTAGGAGACATGTCTGGATTGAATCTCCTGGAACAAGACTGCCATCATGTTCTCTATGTCAAGTGGAGATGTCATTCCCACTTCACAGAGCTGTTGTAAAGTGCCACGCACAGTGGTCCAGTTGTGGACACCAGCGGCAGCTCTTGCTCCTACTATTTTTCAGGGCAAGGGGAAATGGTTCCACCTCTGGTGGACTAACCCTCATAGGAGCCAGATGTGACCTCTGCCCTTTAGGTCCTGTAGCTTCAGAAAGAGCATCTTATTGAGAGAATCAACTTCTGTGAAGAACGTGGTCAAGAGCGCCATTATTTAATGTCCAGACCTTTGAGTTTAGAGTTTTGAACACCTGGGTTCTCATCCTGCTTTTCCCAGTTCCCTGGCTGTATGATTGTGGACAAGTCACAGAAGCCCTTTGGATCTCTAAGATGCTAGGTGAATGGGGGGATCAGGGATGCATTATGTCCTACAAGTCTTGCCCTGCAGGGCTGACATTATAAAGTTAAGTGAGTTATGTGGCTGACGTTGTGGAAAACTGAAGATGGCTGCCTTTTTTATCCTCTTCCATTGAAGAAAGTAGATCAATT